AGGCCCCACGCCGCGCGCATTCCTTGCTTTCCCCCGAGAACCCCCCCCCGCTTGCATCTCCAATGCCCTGGGTGGGCGCCGGCGGCCTGGCACATCGGGGCGTCGGAGCGGGGGGGGGGGCTTCCGAGACCGCGGGGGGGGGGGGGCGGCGCGAATCTGAACGCACGGGAGATCCGCTGCCGCGCCGCTGGCCTGGCCCCCCTCCGAGGCCTCGGACGTCTCCTGGAAGCCAGAAGTAGCAGAGAGATTCCCGAAGACAAAGGGGCGCCCGACGCACGGTCGCAGCGGCGCCCAGAACGCTCGGGGCCGAATCCCCCCCCCCCCAGAAGGGGCGGTGCGAGGCCCAGACCGAGTCCGAGACGGCCCAGCGAGCGCCGAGCGGAGCAGCCCCGACTTCTGAACGCACACTTCCTGCGCGAGAAGGCCACGTGGCGCCGCGCAACAGTCAGGTCAGGACAATCCGGCAATCCTTCTCCTCCCCTCAAGCCGGCAACCGACGCCCACCGCATCGGCCCGATGCCGCGGTCGACCTCGCGCTGGCACTCAGACGTCACATGGGCTCGGGATTGAAGCTCAACGGGCAAGTCAAAACCGTCGCCCCCAGGACCCCCCCGCCGCCCATGCCCCTCGAGCCCCCCGCCCCAGGGGCGCCATGGCGGCGACGACTGCAGAGACGCGCCCCCGAATATCATGCCACCCACTCGGGGGCCCCGTGGCCCCGATGCGCTCCGCCGCGCCCCACCGCCGCTCGCGCATGGCGTCCGCTGCCGCTGACGGCAAAGCAGCAACTGGAGGCATCCTAGATGAGGTCGGAGTAGATGGGGTCGGAGGATTGCGCCGCATCGCCGATACACCGGCGATGCACTGGCGATGCACTGGCGATGCATCGGCGATGCACCGGCGAGGCAACGTCAACATCGGCGACGCGCCCGCGACGTCGGGATAGGGAAAATCGGGCTCCGCATCGAACATTATCGTCGATGCATCGGCGATGCGGCGCGATCCTCCGACCCCATCTTCCCCGACCCCATCTGGGGGGCCTAGAGCAACGACGTGAAACCGGGGATCGTAAATCTAAGAGCAGTCGCGAACGCGGGGCCCTTTTTCCCTGCCCTCCCGGGCCAGCAGACCAGCGAGGCACGTCGCCGCCGCGCCCCGGCCCGGGGCGCCAACGAGAGAGCTCGACGACGCCCCAGGGGGGGCCGACGGCGCAGCCCCTGCAAACCTTCCAGGCGCGGGGGGGGCCCGCAGCAGAGCCCCAGCGAGGCGAGACGCGCCCCGGCCCTCCCCGTGGGCGCCGCCCCCGATCACCTGCGAATTCGAAAAGCGCGCCGCGGAGCCTGGTCTTGGGAGGCAGCTACCGGGAGGTCTTCGCCAGGAGGATCACGCAGGATGGAGCCCCACTGGGGGGGCGGTTGCGCCGGGAGCGGGCCCCGGATGAAGCGGGGCGAAGCCGGGACGTGCGGCGCTGAGCGGGATGACGCCGGATCGAACAGGATATTACGCCGAGCAGGAAGCTGGACTTCGGGCCAGGGCGCCAGCAGAGCTTGACCCCCGATGGGAGCTGCATCCGAGCTGGTTGATGCGCTCAGACTGGCGCGGCGCGGCCCTGGGCGCCCCGCCTCCGCGCCCGGCGCCCAGGCGGGCCGCCGCGGAGGCTCCTTCGACCTCCGGGCGCCCGGCGGCCCCGAGCCGGCCTGCGCCCCGCGGGCGACGCCCAAAGCAGCAGTTCTGCCCGTGGGCCTGCTGGCTATAGCCTCGACTTTTCCTCGCACAGCCCGCGCGGCAAAGACGCCGGCCGACGCGAAGTCACGAAGGACATCTCCCCTCTCAACCCCCGCTCCGCGCGCCGCGCGGCGTCGCCCGCCCGCGCGAGGAAGAGGCGGCCGCGGGACTGCTGGCGCGCGCCCGCTCGCCAGTGAGAATCACCCACCACTTCGGAGCACCCTGGGCCCCGACGCCCTCGAGGGCCGAGGGGCGCGGCGGGAAATCGGGCTCGATGGCGCGAGCCATGACCTCCCCTCACGCGGTGGAATCGTAGAAGGCCCCAGCATCCCACAAACCTGAGGCAGAGCAACAGTCGAGCAAAACGAAGGCCCACGCGGCCTCGTCAGTAGAGCGCCTGAACAGAGCCTCCCGCGGAGCACTGGCGCCTCGAGCCGCGGAGCTCCGGGGCCTCGAGCGGGCCGACGCCCAGACCTCCCGCGGGGCGAGACCCCATGCGACACCACGGGCGACCCGGCCAGGCGACCAAAGAAATGGCGCGACCCTGCCGCGCACGGGGTCTAGGAAGCAAGACCAGAAGAGAAACGAGCCACTGCCAAAGTCAAGCGTCTTGATCACCGTTGAACTCCGTCGCGAACGCCGAACCACCAAATCACGCCTCGCTGACCAACGCCGCGCTGCCTCTCACGCGCGCTTCTGCAGATCCCCGCGGCCAGCGACCGCCTGCAGACGGGCCCAACCCCGACGGGCGCGAGCCCTCTGTCGCGCCGCGGCCCCCAGGGCTCGGCCCGCAGCTCTCCTGGCAGCCTGCGGCGACACACTCGGCGGCGACGATGAGGGCGAATACAGCCTGGGGGCGGGCATTGCACGCATTCGCCCGGGAGCCTTGTCGAAGACACAGATCATTGGCGCCCCTGGATCTTAGCGGGCCCCGGAAACGGCAAGGCCGCTTTGTCACCGTTTCCGAAGAAATGCCCCTTGAAAACAGAAACGGCAAAAAACGGCGACCGGAAACGGCAACAAAAACGGCTCCAGGATTGAGACCGGAGCCGGAACCGGTCAAAACACGGCGACGGAACCGGGAACAAAAACGGCGCCACGGAACCGGCAACAACACGTTCAAAACGCAACCGATCAGAACACGGCCGTCGTGTCCAGGACCCACGAAGCCCTGGATGCATGTGTTGCCCTCCCCTGTTGGGCGCCCGAGTTATCCGGGGTAGCTCGAGTCCGGGGTAACTCGGGTTTGGATTCCCGGAACAGGAACCCGAGCTACTGATGATGTGGGGCTCTGGGCGCCCGAGTTATCCGGGGTAACTCGGGCCCGGGGTAACTCGGGTTTGGATTCCCGAAACACGAACCCGAGTTAACCCTGACCCGAGTTACCCCTGATGATTCGGGGCTCTGACCCTGGGCTATTCGCCCCCCTCGCCGCCCCGGAGGCACCCCGCCGCTGAGACGCCTCGGCGGCGCCCGGCGCCCTCCACCCGCGAGGCCGTCAGTCGCCGGCGGCGGCGCGAGCCCGGCGCTCAGGGGGCCGGGCCCTGCCGCGCGGCGAGGCTGGCCCCGAAACTGCCGAGCCCTGGGCGCCCCGCCCCCGGCGGCTTAACGCGGGATGACGATTCATAAAACAAAGGGGAGAGAACAATTAACAACATAATTTTCTGCAATTTCTGCACACGTTTCTGACTGGAGGAGAACGATTTTAAGAAATAGTTTCCCAGCCCGCGGCCGGTTTTCTCTAATCGTCATCCCGGGCGCCGCCGCGTGAACACGACCCCCGGCCATTAATTAATCGTCATCCTCCATTACGGTAGGGGGCAAGCAGACCTCCCTCGCTTTTGACCACCCTCGCTTCCAAGAGGAGGCCGCTTGGCGAGGAGGCCGCTTGACTCTAGGGCGGGGCCGCTGGACGAGGAGGCGCGTGGCAGGACCTGGTTTTGCCTGGAGGCGAAAGGGCGGGGCAGGCAATTCACGCTCTGCATACAGGTGCGTCGCCTCCTCGGCCAGGTGGATGACGCTCTGGCCCCCCGCCGAGCACCCGGGCCCGCAGGGGAGGCCGGAGGCTTGGACCCCCGAGAAACTCCCCAGTGAGGTTTTTTTGTTTGTTTTCTCCCTGAGCCCCCCCCGGCCACCATGCGGCTTCCTTTATCCACTGGCGCCACCTTACCCAGCTCCAGATCGTGCAGCTCCATAGTAGCGACGCAGTTGGCAAAACGAGCGCCGAGGTCACTGGCTCCCTCCCTGGCGGGAAGAACACCGAGGGACTCTCGAACAGGATCTGCAACACTGGAAGCTGGACTCCGCGGCGCCACCTGCTGCCACATCAAATCGTTGGCCTCCTCCGTCCACTCTTGCTGGAAAAATCGTAACTCTCCACACCTGGTGAGCGTTTGACGGCCACATGCGCATCGTCCTCATCCATCGGCGAGAACATCCGTGTCCTCATCGCCCGGGAACGTATCATCCGTGCCATCTTCAGTCATAGCATACTGCAGCGGCAACGGGCTCTTGATAGACAGCTTGCGAAGCACCCCCCAGGACACTGGGGTCGGGGGGACTGAACTTGGCACACGCTCAACATTGGAAGCTTCCGCCGCAACTCGTACGTTAGATCTTTTGCTGGCTGGGTCTTCTTTGCGCTTGGACGGCTGGGATGAAGAACAACTGGAGGACCCTCATCGTCAAGGCTCGAAGGGCCGATACACATCGGAATGCATATCCAATCTCAATCCGTAGTGAGCTTTGCCCCCATCCTCCGACGCGCAGAAATCCGCCAAGAAACTCGAAGTCCAGGGGCCGAACCGACTCTGACACCACCATGACATCTAGCATGCGCCCACTCCCCACTGTGCACGTGTATTCCGTTTTCGATGGCACTATGATAATGCCGCTAACCAGCAAAAGCCAACCGGTAGACGTCAGAGCCTGAGGGGACATGCCCCAGTCCCCGATGGCGATCCAAGGACCCTTCACAGTATATAGTGACAAGCGTGCCCACGTTGGCAAGCCTAGGGGCGTTCGCCGTCGGTTCGACCGAAGACGTCATGCACACCCCCACAATGAGCAGAGACCAGCCTCGGGCCTGAAGCTGCAGGCCCACCAGGTCACGAAAGCCGATCCCAGGCTGAATAGAGCCACCACCAAGATCACGAAGACGGAGGAAAAGGAGGAGGAGGAGGAGGAGAACCCAACCATAGGCAGGATGAGGAGGAAGAGCACGATGACGGCGACGACGACGCCGACGAAGACGCCGTGACGACCACCAACGGCGCCTGCAATCGAATTCCGGAAAGTGCCAGAGCTCCCCGCCGCAGTCGGTGAGGCAGGCGAGGTCGGCGATCCCCGCGCCGTCACGGGCGGGCCTCCCTGACTCCAGATCCGCCATACTTTGCCTTTTTTCCAACTTAAAATTGCGTCGGAAATCCACCTATAAGAAGCCGAACAAGTAGGGCGGAAATTTCTGCACCCAACATGATAGAGTAGGGCGAAAATCCACAGAAGGGCGGACATCGGCATCAGCGGGGCTTGAAAAGTGAGCCGGAAATTCGAAGCCCTACTCACGAATTTCCCCAGAGTAGGGCGGATCCGGAGTCAGGCCTGGGCAGCGAGGCTTCCGGGCTCCTCCTCCTCCTCCTCCTCCTCCTCCTCCTCCTCCTCCTCCTCCTCCCCCTCCTCCTCCTCCTCCTCCTCCTCCTCCTCCTCCTCCTCCTCCTCCTCCTCCTCCTCGAGAAGGGGGGGGGAGGCGGAGGGCGGAGGGGCGGGCAAGGAGGGGAGCGAGGAGGGCGGGCGGAGGGGCGCTGTGTTCCCAGCCACCCCGCGGTGTTGGGTTCTCGTTTTGAGGAGCGCCCCGCGTCCCCTCTCCTCTCCTCTCCTCTCCTCTCCTCTCCTCTCTCGTCGCCTCCTCTTCCCCCTCCCCCGCCTTCTCCTCTTCCTCCTCCGCCCCCTCTCCTCCTCCTCCTCCTCCTCCTCCTCCTCTCATCATCATCATCATCATCATCAGCAGCAGCAGCAGCATCATCATCATCATCATCATCATCAGCATCAGCATCAGCATCATCATCATCAGCATCATCATCATCATCATCATCATCATCATCACCATCATCATCATCATCATCATCAGCAGCATCAGCATCATCATCATCATCCTCATCATCATCATCATCATCATCATCAATCATCATCATCAGCCTCTTCCCTCCTCCCATCGCTGCCTCTGCTCTCCGCATGTTCACCACGTCAGCACACCCCTCACACGCTTCGTGGCCCCCTATGGAGCTCCACCGATGACCTCCATGGCTGCGCTCGCATGCGCCCACCGCGCCAATTGTGTCACACCCCTCACACGTTTCGTGGCGCATAGGGAACTCCGCCTGAGGCCCCAGTGGCGGTGACCTCATGCGCCCCCCCCACCCAGCACAGCGTTTCGTGGCACAACAGGGAGCTCCACCTAAGGCCCCGGTTGAGGTGTCCACATGCGTCCCCCCAGCAAGCACAGAGCGCTTCGTGGCCCCATAGGGAGCTCAACCTAAGGCCCCAGTGGCGGTGTCCACGTGCGTCCCCCCCCCCCCACCCAGCACAGCGTTGAGTGGCCCCATAGGGGGCTCCACCTAAGGCCCCAGTGGTGGTGTCCACATGCGTCTCCCCACCCAGCACAGCGTTTCGTGACCTCACAGGGAGCTCCACCTAAGGCCACAGTTGCGGTGTTCACATGCGCCCCCCCCCCCACCCAGCACAGCGCTTCATGGCACAACAGGGAGCTCCAACTGAGGCCTCAGTTGAGGTGTCCACATGCGTCCACCCCACACCCAGCACAGCGTTGCGTGGCCCCATATGGAGCTACGCCTAAGGCCCCAGTGGCGGTGTCCAAATGCGTCCCACGCACGCAGCACAGCGGTGCGTGGCCCCGTAGGGAGCTCCACCGAAGGCCCCAATGGCATGCGTTCCCCCCACCCAGTACAACGTTCTGTGGCACATAGGGACCTCCACCGAAGGCGATACCCACAACTGCGGTACGCACAACTGCAGATGGTTGCATCCCTCGCCAGGCCAATGTTGTGTGTTCCTCCTCCTCGTCCTCGTCCTCGTCCTCCTCCTCCTCCTCCTCCTCCTCATTTCAAGATCAGCCAGCATCGAATCGGGAAGTCGGATGGGGTCGTAGCGCGCGTCGGATCGGGCCGCGTCGGCACGGGGTCGAGATCGAACCGGATCGGCTGCGCCAAGATGCACCACAGTGCCATGCGATCATCGGTCCGCATCGGACCGTCGAAATGTTCCCAAACAAGCCCTTGCCTTCGAAAGAGATGCCAACTTTCCTCGGCGGAAGGCGGCGGAAGTAAAAGATGTGCCCCCAAGAGATGAACACGCTTGGGGGATCGGGGTTTCCGAAATCGGTATCGGACCTGACCATCCGAACTCGACATCTGGGTGCTGGTGACAAGGCTGGGGGGGAGTGAAAGAACACTGTGACCATGACCAAGACTGAACGCGGAAACATCGGTGTCATTCTTGGTCGCCGTCCATCTCGGTCATCGTCAAGTCGTGGATCATCTTCGCGAATCGGCGACGGCCAGCATTGGCCATGAACAAGATCTGCATCGACATGGCACAGCGACGTCTTGGTCATGGTCATCGTGCTTATTCCCTCAAGGCCTCCAGGGGGGATGAGGGGGGAAGACCTGGCGAAGGACGGCGAAGTAGGGACCGCAGTGGGACGTAGAAGGGCAGGCCAGTACTGTGTGCCTCTGTTGGAGACGCACGTCCGACCCGAACGTTTGGTACAAACATCTACTGTACAATCGGTTCCCGCGCGGTATGGCCAGAACGCGCCCGCCACCGAACGGGTACTGTGGCATTTCTCGGCGCGAGCGTCGCCCCTGGGGTGCAGACGTATAAAGAATACCAAACAATGCTCAAGGAAGGCAAAACAAATCGAAAAACAGTCCCCAGACTAATGTTTGAACATTCCTCCTGTAGAGGGACAGGCGCGACTCAATCCTAGATGGGGTCCGAGGCTATGGGTCGGGGGATCGCGCGGCATCTGCGATGCACTGGCGACGTCAAGGTATACGCACCAGCACGTAACCCGACAGCCTGCTTCTATCATTCTCCAGCGCGACTAATAGCTACGTGACCTCTTCCCCGTCCTGTACCTCACGCTTATCCGTCTCCGCCTCCAAGCCCCCTCCACCTCGATGCGACGTGGGAGAGGTCGTTCATCACAGGGTGAAGCCGTTCGCGAATAAACTATCCACGATGAATCCACATCTGTCGGGCCTGGCCGAGAAACGTCCTCGCAACGGTCTGCAATCCGTTCCCTGGTGCGCGTCTTGTGCAGACACCCCCGATGACAGGAAGGTGACCCCACCATACTGAGGCATGGCCAGTGAGGAGGAAGAGGAGGAGTAGGACGAGGAGGGAGGAGTGGGGAAAGGAGGAACAAGAAAAGAAGGAAGAGGAGAGTGGAAAAGAGGGGGAAGAGGAAAAGGAGTATAATCAGAAGGAGGAGGACGGATGAGAGGAGGCGGGATAGGAGGGGGAAGGAAACGAGAGGGTAAAGACATGCAGCTTTCCTGGATGAGCTCCAACACGCCAAAGTGATACTAGACAGTACAACAAAGTGTGGCACCTCGTTCTCGCAGACACATCTGACCACCAACGACAATGATTGCCCACCGGCCACAACGAACAACTGACTGTCACAGACCAGCAGTAAGACAACGCACGCTGCACAATGCAAGAGGGAGGCCGATGCAAGTGAGCGAGCCTGGTGAAAGGAGGATGAGGAGGAGGAGGAGGATGAGGAGCAGGAGAGGGCAGGAGCAGGAGGGGGGAGGAGCAGAGAGGACGAGGAGGCGAGACGATGCCAAGAAGAGAAGGGGGAGGACGAGAGGCGAGGGAGCGGGAGGTCTCGACTCTTCGACGCTCTTGACCGCGGCCATGCGGCGTGGCCACGAAGACCTCCGCGGACACCTTGGCCTTGACCATGTCCGAGGCCAACGCGGTGTAGGGGCTCGCCGCGCCTGTGGGCGGGCAGTCGGACCAGCGGGGGGTGAGGCTGGGGCTTGGGGCTAGAAGCGCACTGGGGCGGGATCGGAGCAGCACGCCACGCCTGGACCTGGCATCAAGAGCCGATTGCCCGCGCGAGCGATCTGCATGGATGCGAGGGGCACGCGGATCCGGGAGGCCTGCCTGCCACGGCCGCGCTGGGGGGTCAGTGGCCCCGCGCGCGCGGGTGAAGCGGCAGGGGAGGAACGATCTCTGGGGACGCCAAAAGGTATCGAGACCATTGCTCCACGGACCTCTCCCGGGGTGTGCTCTGACCAGAATTGCGAGGCGAATCCAGCGGTGGCGACGAGGGCCTCCCAGGAGGCCGAACAAGGGGAATACGGGCGAAGGGTGGCAGTACCCATCGGTGGGAAGAAGTGGGTAGAAACACGAAGTAGGAAGGCGGATCAAGTAGATTCGGTTCGGGCCCGCCCCGAGAGTAACAACGCGCAGCAAAAGCATGCCGATTATTTTAAGTAGGGAGGCGCTTGAAGCCGATTGGGTTCTGGGAGTCCCAAAATCCCTACTCCTACTTTCAACGACCGATGGGTACACACCGGTCGGAAGAAGTAGGTAGAAACATGAAGTAGGAAGGCGGATTAAGTCTTCATTCAGTAGATTGGGTCCAGGCCCCCCGAGGGAATAGCAAAACACAGCAGAAGCGTGCCGATTCTTGAAGCAGGAAGGCGCCTGAAGCATATATGGGGCTCTGGGGATCCAAAGTTACCTGCTTTCAACGGCTGGCCTGCATGGGTAATTACCTCTGCCTGCCATGAGTCTCCCCAGCCTGGGAATCGGGCCCGAGGTTGCGGACCGGCAGGCCCCCAAGGGGGGGGGAGGGCAACGCCAGGGCGTGGCCACCCGCGGATGGAGGGGGGAGGAGGGAGGAGGGAGGGGGGGAGGAGGGAGGGAGGGAGGAGGAGGGAGGAGGGGAGGAGGGGGAGGAGTGAGGAGGGAGGGGGGGGAGGGAGGAGGGAGGGAGGGGGGAGGAGGAAGGAGGAGGAGGGAAGGGGGGGGGAGGGAGGAGGGGAGGAGGGGGGAGGGGGAGAAGGGGGGGGAGGGGGAGAGGGGGAGGGAGGGGGGGGAGGAGGGAGGGGGGGGGAGGAGGGAGAAGGGGGAGGGAGGAGGAAGGGAGGAGGGAGGGGGGGGGGGGCAGCGCCGGGGCGTGGCCGCCCGCGGAGGGGCGCCGGGGCGCGGCCGCCCGCGCAGGGCAGCGCCGGGGCGCGGCCCCCCCCCGCGGATGGGTGCGCCGTGGCCGCCCCGAGGCGGGGCGTGCGGGCCTCGTGCGGCCACACGGCGGAGGCCCGAGCACAGGACCCAGGGCCCCTCGAGTAGTACCCAGATGGTCTGGTACCGGAAATTTTCGGTAGCGATTTCGACGCACCCCGAATTTCGGTAGCGACCGGATCTTCGTTTGAGGGCGTTGATATAGCGGATTTCAGAACGCTCTGATACCGGTATTGGGCGCTACATTTCGGTATTTCGGTAGCGACCGATCTCTGCGGAGCGCTACCGGAAATTTTCGGTAGCGGACCATCAGGGTAGGGGCAAAACAAACCTACCTCGCTTTTGACCACCCTCGCTTCCAAGAGATACCAAGCGATGCCAAAGCACGGCCTGTACTGGTCAGGCCGCTTGACGAGGAGGCGCGTGGTATGACTTGGTTTTGCCTGGAAGCGAAAGCGGGGTAGGTAATTCACGCTCTGAAGTAGGGAAAAAAATCACGACGGGAGGTTTTTCGTCGTTTTCAGCCTCCGGGGGCCCTTGCCGGGCCTCGGGGCCGTCAAGAAACGACTCAGGATGAAGAGCCGGTCCCAGGGAAGGGGTCGAGACCTCTGGGGGTCGGCGTCATGGAAAAATCATGGCGTCGGGGGTCTGGGGGCAGCGTCCACGAGAGGCCACGCCGTGAGCGACTTTTGTCTTCTTCTCGGGCGATCGCAGACGTGGATTTCCAGGGGGCGCGGAGCAGCGACGGGTCCTGCTTCCGTGGGCAATCGCGGAGTTCGGCCGCCGAGCGAGGCGGCACCGGCCGGGTTTCGGGGAGGGCACCTCCCCCGATCCATGGATTTGGCGACCGCGCGCCAAATCTATAGATCGCTAATCCATGTTTGCGCGCCCCCGATATTCGGAATGTCGATATTGGGCGGAAAGGGGGGGGAGGGGGGCGGTCTGGCTCTGGACCTCTGCTTACTGCCCCTGTTTGCAGCAGTGCGTCCCATGGGGGAGGCTCCACCTGCTCGAAACAGGCGCCCCCAAACAGCCAAGATCTACTCCATAGGGTAGAGGGGTGGGTGCGAGGGCCTGCGCCGATCGGTTAAACAGTTAATACAAAAAAGGATCACACCCATGAGACCCCAGGAAGCCCATTGATTTTTGGTGTGGGCACGTCACGCCATCCACTGCAAAGCCATCGAAACGCAAGGAGTCCCAGGGCGCCCAGGGAGGCAAGCAGGGCGTGTCTTGGCATGGGCCTCTACTGCACAAAACGCTGAATGAGGAACGACATTTTTGTTTCTGGCCACGGTGAGCCTCGGCCAGGAATCCCACCGGGCTTTTAGGTCGTGAGTGGTTTCGCGAGTTTCCTTTCTTCCAGTCCCCTTCGGGGAGGGGTTCACCCCGCCCCCTACTTCCTCCCCCTGAATCTGGAGGGGAGGCTTCGCAAAGGTTGCAGCGTCCAAGATGGCCTCGGCGAGGAAACCAGCATCATTGATCTTACTGGGGTGTTGGCCACATGCTGGCCTCGTGGGGGGGACCCTAACTGAGCACGGTCCGTCCGTTGATCGATCTGCTCCAAAATGGCCCCAGTATGGCCCCCGAGGGAGGCTCGTAAGGGTGCCCCAAACGGCCCCAAGAGGTGCTTAGGAGGCCCCAAGAGGCCCCCAAAAAGGCGTCCAAGATGCGCCCGAGATCCCCCCTAAAGACCCCCAAGAGGCCCCCCAGAGGCACCCAAGACGCCCCAAGAGGCCTCCGCGAGGAAGCTAAACTCATAAGTTATACTAGAAGGTTTCGGCCACATGTTGGCCTCCTGGGGGGAGACCTGAGTAAGGGGGCCCCTCCGATTCCTTCTCCATCCTGGCCCTCTTGGGTTACGACGTCTTACCCAGCCGTTTATTCCACCGCATGTTTCTCTACATCCTTAAACAGGGCAGCTCGTCTGTGCATCGTTTCTAGATGGGCTGCTCGGGTTAAGCGACGCGCGTCTAGTATAGGTGCCATCTAGCTCTGAGGAACGGCACTGAGGAGAAGAATGGTGGAGGAGAAACGGAGCGGGAGACACCCCTTCCCCGTGCATGCGACGCGACCTCGCTTTCCTAGAACCGCCCTCCTTCTCACCATGTTCCGCTTACACCACCCTTCTGCTGCTCCTCCCCCTCCTCCTCCTCCTCCGTCTTACTCCTGCTCCCTCGTCCTCCTCCGCAGAAACGGACGGCACATCAGCACGAGCCGTCAGAAACTGGTACACAAAGTTCGGAGGCGATGGGAACCGGGCAGACCCTAAGGGATCTCAGCGATCAAGCTGCGAGTAGCTGAAGAACCGTCAACGCAAACAAATGAATTATTCACTGCGTGGAGCTCCCCTTATGTGCATCTCATACTCCTGTCGCTTCTCGGTGAAGGACTCTGTCTGAGAGCATCTGGGTGTGAGAGCGAGTCGGCGTGGACGATGGGGGCGACAACGACGACGGCGGCAGCGACGACTTCAGTGACGTTCCCCTTCTCTGGGCATCTTCCAGGAGAGACGAGGGAAGCACAAGTGAGCGAGGGGGCATTGGGGCATTGGACCACCGAAGAAAAAGACTGAATGAATCTAAGCATGAGTGATCTGAGCGTCGGTGAGTCTGAATGTGCATGTACCTGGGTGTGGTTGACTATGAGCGTCAGTGAGTCTAGGTATGAGAGAGTCTGGGTGCGAGTGGGTCTGAGAATGCGTAAGTCTGAGTATGAGTGAGTCTGAATGAGGGTGGGTCTTGTTGTGGGTAAGTCTGGGTGTGAGCGAGCCTGAGTATGAGTATAACGGCCACGCGTCTGAGTCAGAAAGGGTCTGAATACGAGTGGGTCTGGCTACGAGAAAATCAGAGGGTGGGTGGGTCTAGGTGTGAGAGATTCTGAATGTGTGTAAGTCCGAGTGTGAGTGCGTCTGAGTATGAATATGATGAGCACGAAACTGAATCTGAGTGGGCTGAATAAGAATGAGTCTGACTAAGAGTGAGTGCGAGGGTGGGTGGGTCTGAGTGTGTGATTCAGAGTGTGAGTACGTCTGAATATGAATGCATCTGAATCTGAGTATGATGAGTACGCAACTGAGTCTGAGTGGGTCTGAGGTCTGAGTACGAGTGAGTCTGACTACGAGTGAGTGTGAGAGTGTGTGGGTCTAAAGGTGAATGAGTCTGATTGTGCGTAAGTCTGGGTGTGAGTGTGTCTGGGAATGAGTATGATGAGTACGACTCTGATTAAGAGTGAGGCTGAGCACGAGTGAGTTTGAGCATGCAAAAAAGTGAGCAAACGAGTTGGACAACCAAAACAAGAAAACCGCTCGAGACATCCTCAACATCTAGCCCCTCTGGGGTGCGAAAACTAACGCCTCGCCCGAAACATCCTCCAAATCTGCTCTGGAAGCGGAGGATGTTGGGGCAGCAAACAGGCAAACTGCTCGAGACAACCCAGCCATTTTTTCGCGAACCGGGAGGCCTCCTAAGCGCTTCCCAGGAGGCCCCCAGGCGGGACAGGCACTGACATCGGTCCCCCAAGCGGCGGACATGTCGCTCGCTCTCACTCTCGCCACGTCCTCCTGTGGGGCGAGAATTCATAGGAGGGCGATGAATGGGGGGAAGAAAAGGGGCCCTTTGCCCTACATCGACAAGCGCGTTCCACGACTCGCAAAGCAGCAGCTACTCGCAGATTGCCTGGGTCCGCCGCGGGGGATTCACGATCCATTCCATGGAGGCAGACATGTTTTTTTTGGACGCTTGCGAGGAGGCACTTTGCGAGTGTTGGAACGCGCCAGGTGACCAAAGGGCCCCTTTTCGGCAACCCTCGCTGCCACCCCCCCATTGATCGCCCCAAGGGGGGGCCGACCGATCAAAATGGGGGGGGCGTCCTCCGCTCCTCGCCTTAGGTCGGGCGTGTCCTCCTACAGGCGGATCTTGGGCGAATAATGGAAAATCAATGAAACATGCTCCAAAATGGTCTAAATAAACAAAAAAAATCCAAAAATAGCCCCCGGAAGTTTTGTCCATTCTGTTTGGATACTCCTCCTGTAGAGGGACACGCCCGACTTCGATGAATCGCCCCCTGGGGCGAGCGAGCGAGCGAGGTCCGGCGTGCGGGAGTCCGCGCCCATGGAGGGCTGCCGGGCACTGGAAAATTAAGCTGGCCTTACTCTCAGTCAGTCCACCTCTTGTGTGGCCGCCCTCGCGACCGCAGGCCAATGGGATGCCATTGAAGCAGTTTCTTGGATCATCTTCCATCTGCAGAAATATCGATCTTCTCACAAAACATGGGGGGCGCCCTCCGCTCCTCGCCCTCCTCCTGCGCCACCCGTGCGGACAAAGGCCTTCTTGGAGGCCCCGCGCGGCCCCCGCGCCCTCTGCCGTGAACGCCACGAGCTTGCCGCCGCGGCCTCTGCGGCGCACGCGCGGGCTGCGGCAGGCAAGCGAGCAGTCGTCGTCGTCGTCGTCGTCGTCGTCGTCGTCGTCGTCGTCGTCGTCGTCGTCACCGTCACCGTCACCGTCGTCGTCGTCGTCGTCGTCGTCGTCGTCGTCGTCGTCGTCGTCGTCGTCGTCGTCGTGGGCGTCGTCGTCGTCGTCGTCGTCGTCGTCGGCGAGCGTCGCCGTCGTCGGTGGGCGTCGTCGTCGTCGGCGGGCATCGTCGTCGTCGTCGTCGTGGTCGTCGTCGTCGACGGGCGTCGTCGTCGTCCTCGTCGTCGGCGGGCGCCGTGTGGGAGCATGGAAAACCGACACCAACACCACCCAGGACCGCCAGCGGGAGGAGCCAGGGAGGGGGATCCCCTGGTGGTGTGGTCCCCCCTCTCGCTCGGGACACCCCCTTTTCCCCGGCTTGGAGAGGAGGAGGAGGAGGAGGAGGAGGAGGAGGAGGAGGAGGAGGAGGAGGAGGATTAGGTTAAGCACGCCACTAGACCCGCCACCCCGAGCAGGCACCGAAGCCCCCACTCGACATGGCGAGCCCGTGGATTTCTCGATCAGTCAGTTCCACCGCCGCTCGTCGGCCCATTGGCCAGCGAGGGCCCACTCCTTGGTGCCCGCACAGGCACACAAGGGTTCACGACGGCGGGCCAGCGAGCGGCGGCGGCGGCGGCAGGCGCACAGGGCTGCGCCTGCAACTCGCCGCTGGCGGGGGACACCACGTCGTCCTCCTCGTAGAGCTCCAGCTCAATGTAGTCGGCAGGCTGAACACTCGCCAACTTGCTCGAGCTCGAAATCGCTCCACTGCGGCCTAACCCCTCGCCGCGCTGGGGAAACGTGTGGCCTAACCCCTCACCGCGCTGGGGTTGGTGGCCTAACCCCTCGCCACGCTGGGGAACGCTACGGTCTAACCCCTCACCGTGCTGGGGATCGCCTGACCCCGCAGTCTCGCCCTGCAGGGGTCGGCTGCGGTCTAACCCCTCACCGCGCTGGGATGCGTTGTACTGCTTCCCGTACTGCTCCCCCTCACTGCCGCGGTCTAACCCCTCACCGCGCTGGGGTGCTTTCCTCCACTCGGAGCGGTCGTCGGGCTGCCCCTGGCTCGGGGAGATCGCGTCAGGGTGCTCATGGAGCTGCTCCCCCACAATCTCCTGCCCGTCAGGACGCCGCCCCTCGAGCCTCTGCTCTCCTTCGCCTCGATGGGGTCCTTCCTCACCGATGCGGCCTAACCCCTCGCCGTGCTGGGGTGCGGTGTCGTCGTCCTCATCGTAGAGCTCGAGCCCGATGTAGTCGCCTGCCGCTGCCTTGGCTAACCTGCTCGAGCACGCCAGTGTATGTTCCCAGCGGCCTAACCCCTCGCCGCGCTGGGGAGCGTCGTGGCCTAACCCCTCGCCACGCAGGGGTCCCTCACCCGCTGGACTTGATGTTGCCGCCGATGCGCTTGTCGCCGTGGAAGCCCTGCACGTCCTTCTTGCGCGTGAGGGAGCACCTCCTCCAGCCGATCGGCCGCCGCCAGCACGGTTCCGACTCGCGTCGCCCGAAAGCGGACAGTGGGGAGCCTTCCTCCCCTCATGGAGGTAACTGGCAGGGGCCCTCAGGAGGAGGAGGAGGGCATCGTGGACCTCCTCGCTGGAGGTGCCCCCTCTGGCGGTGTTGGTGTCGCTTCTCCTCCCCCCCAGTCGGGGCGCGCGCCGGATCGGGCCGCGGCGGCACAGGGCCAGAATTCGAATCGGATCGGCCGCGCCGGGGTGCACGACGGCGCCATGCAAGCGCAGGGCCACACGGGATCGTCGGAATGCAGGACTGCATCGGGCTCGAGTCGGATCGAGCCAGCCGACGCAGGCATCCAGGCGAAGCGATCGCATCGGAGTGGACCCTGCAGGAGGAGGGGAGTCAAGGCTCTGGGGACCCAAGGAGATGGAAGCATCCCCTGGCCATCGCTCGGACGTCCATTCCCTGTGCTTTTTTCGGTTTCGTGCGTGGCTTGTTCGCCAAATGACAAGGATGCTCCTCGATAATCCTCGCCGAAGGAAAAATGCACACGTCCGAGCGATGCCAAGCCCCTGGCTGGGCCCACATGCGGGGCATCTGGAAACCGCTCGCCGGACACGCGGTGCTACGGAGGACCAGCGTACCCGGCCGCACCAAGATCCAACTTCACTATATGAAGCGGGTTTTGCACGAATTCAAAAACGCGTTCTTGAACGAGAACGGTGGGAGCATTGGATAAGGATCCCTTAGGTAAGGAATCCAGGATCTGGAAGCCAGTAGAAAGCCAATCGTGGATTGATTGCCCATGGATATCACCGCCGCCTTCATGAGATAAGGAATGCTCCAGAGTCTGCAGCCTCCTGGGCCCACTCCTTAACGAACGTCCCCACCGTACAACGACCGCTTTTGAGTGACGTCGCTTACTTCATCGGCGGCGAGCAAAGGGGGGCGAAGTGAGAAGGAGGAGGCCCTCTCAGGAGGCGGCGGGGCCTCTCAGAAGCCCTCGCGCCTTGTGAGAGGTGCTCTGTGTCGTCGGGGAAGGCTTAGACAGCTTCTCAGAAGGCGGGGGGGGGCTTCCGAGTCTTCTGAAATATGGGAACGAAGACATAAAAACTCGGAGGCCCGCGCGGATTTCTCGGATCCGCGCTGGACCCCCTCCCTGGCGCGCGGGGCGCGGCAGGGGCGGCGCCGGAGGTGCCGCCGAAAGTGCGAGCTGGATCTAAATCGCTAGGACGCAACTACTGGGAGGTCTGCGTCGGAAAAAATACTAATCTTTCCGAGGATTTAATGAAAGGAGGATTGAGCCCCATGAGGGGGGCTGTTGCGCCAGAGTGGGCCTCGGATCGAGCGGGAGTAAGCTGGATTGAGCGGGGCTAAGCGGGATCAAGCTGGATTGAGCAGGTTGAGCCGGAGTAAAGCCGGAGTTCGGACCAGGGCAAAATCAGAATCAGACCTCCCAGGAGCTGTATCCGAAAAAGCGTATCCAGGTCCAGCTCCCTGTCAGGAGGGCTCGACCAGCACAGTGTCTTTCGTGCCCGTGTTGCGTTCGTCTTCCCTCGTTGTGTCTGCCACCCACCTTAAGTCGAAACGAACACGACCCACGGCACCGCCAGAACGCTGTTTGGGTCGACCCCTGCATCCAGATCCAGCTCCCTGGCAGGAGGGAGGCTTACAACGACGGAAGAAAACGGTGTTTCACACGAGTTGGCGTGTAGAACGGAAAAAGAAAGGAACCGAACGTTAAGAACGAACGTTTAGAACGAAACTGGTGCCAAACGGAAACGGCAACGACACGAAGCACAACGGAGCAACAACGAACAAAGAAACGAGCACCCAAACAAAGTTAAACTGGGTTGTGCTCGGCCTCTGGATATTTAACAAGGAGTACAAGGGCGACTAGCGAAACCTCACCGTCCTTATGACCGGTGTTAGCCGTACTCCAAAGGTTTCCCGCAAATAGAAATGGGCTTGCCCTTGAATCCGAATTTCACCATGAGGGTCGGCCCCCCCTGTGGGCGCATGTGTGGGCACATGTTCCAACAACCTCGCGGAAAGGCGGCGGCGGTGACCTTCCAATCAAACCGCGGGCACAGGCAGAGGATGACCTGATCGGAAATGGAAGTGCACATTCGATCTCCTCCCTAGTTGCCCCCTCCGTCGACCCTCCCATCTGTTGACGTGGTCGCACGGATCAGCGCGTAGGCGGTCCTGCTGGCTCTGTTCTTTGTTTGTGCTTCTCGAATCATCCTGGCAGTAGGGGGGCACCCTCTAGACAGAGGCCCCCCAGATGGGGTCAGAGCAGAAGGGGTCGAAGGATCACACCGCATCGCAAATGTATCGGCGATGCATCAACGACGTTGGCGATGCATCGGAACCGTCCGTGTGGAGAAGACCAGGCTCCGCATCGAGCCGCATCGGCGATGCGGCGCGATCCTCCAACTCCATCTGCTCCGACCCCATCTAGGAGGAGGATAACGCGGAGGAGGTGGAAGAGGAGAAGGAGGAGGAGGAGGAGGAGGAGGAGGAGGAGGAGGAAGAGGAAGCAAGCAAGACCTTAGCAGCTGGTGTCTCTCGCTGCGTGGCTCACCTTTTAGGGGTAAGGCCTGTAGCCCTGACTGTAGCTGCTGGTCAACTCAATGCGCATCTCGAGCACGCCTGCGGGACTTTATAGCCCATCACGGACCTTCAAAGCCCGCGTTAGCACGAAGGCGCACGGCACTTCATTCAAGTCGCTGTGGGTTGAGGCTTGGAGCGCTTGGGCCCATCACCTCAACCTCAGGGCTGACGGGTGCGGAGGGAGACCCCAGTGAACTCGCATCTCCCCTGTCTCTTGAGATCTCGGGGCAATTGACGAGCTCGTTCGCTGCCTGCCTGAGCCATGCGTCGTTGGTTGTCTAAATCGATTGTTCCTGCGCCGCTGCCTGAACCGCTCGCTCCAGTGCTCCTGGTGTCGGTGTGCAAGCGAATCTCGGCGATCGCGCAGAGCCTGGAGAGGGCCTGGGGGGGATTGATTGTGCAGAACCCGCCACAGACCGCAAAACAAAACACCTCGAAGCACCGCAAGCTGATGGGGCGCATCCCAAAGATCGGCCAACGGGTGGTCCAGAGCAGCCTCTCCGACAGGCACTGCTGCGAGGTCGCTGTCAACACCCTTCGGGTCAGCAGGGGGCGTCGGGGGCAAGCTCTGGATCTTCTGCTGCACAGGACAGCGCGGCTTGCGAGGGCCAGGCCAGAAATCCGCCAGCTCCCCTCTCAATGGGAAACCTCCGAAGCACATAGAACGCTTAATGACCGCACTCCGCAAATGAGTCTCGCGCCCACAGTCTCGCAGTCCACATGGCCGCTCGACAGCGCGAGTGCGTTGGCCACGACGTCTTCAAGGAGCGCACTCAGCCCGCTCCCGCTCCCCAATGAAGAGGATCTCCCGCTGGGCCGCCAACGACCTCGACAGTGCATCGGACGCCAGTTTATCGGCCCCGTGGGTCTA